TCAGGTTTTTAGTGGGTAGGGCCCCCCTCCTCTCGGGCAGCCGCTGAGCCAACCTTCGGGCTGGCTGAGCGAGTGGGCGAGAGGAGGAGCGGAGGAGTCCCACATAACCTCGCCGCACTCTCAAGGCGGTGGGGTATGCGTAACGCATTTTCCTGACGAAAAAAAAATGGGACCTCTAGTTGTAACATAACTGTAATAGACATATGGTATCGCAGACTTTTTTGTAGATATTGATATCCTCTATAAAACTTTAGTACATCACTTTGCTCTATTGTCAATGACTTCCGCAGCGTAAGCGATATAAGGCTATTTTTTGGTATTTTTTACATACGTTGGGTTACATTATCGAAGTTTTCATACGGAACCCTAACTTTTTTGAAAATACACAATACACTATAGCCTATATTAATCAGTGATAATGTAGCATTCAAATGGTAAAAGAATTTTTAAAATCGGTCCAGTACTTTTTGAGCTTATTCGTTACAAACATACTTACATACAAACCTTTTCTTTATAATATTAGTATAGATGATATTAAAAAATCACGAACACGTTCATCATCATTCTGAAATCGAAAAATTAACAAATTATCGCTACACGTAAAGATTTATCTGTCCTATAATAATATTCATTTATATCTTTAACACCACAATTAAAAAATAACATTTCACTAACTTTATATTTGTTCATATAATCCACTAAGTTCATATCACACAGCTCACGTTGATATATGCGTTGCACAGCACGAATATGTGTATGATTTAAAGGTCTAGTATTTCCACTTCGATTGAAACCATATTCTTTTATTAAATAATGTTATTTATTGGCGACGTGGGAAATCGCCAAAAGAATTCTAATAATTGATCTCCTTTTGTTCCTTTGTGACGCCTTTTATTGATGTTATGCTCCTCGTTACTTGACTTAGTAGTTTGTTCGTGGTTATTTGTATCGGATCCACATTGGAAGCTGTTAAGAATATCACTTTTGTCTCCGCATGTTTCCACCAATATTTCTTCTCTAAGTTTTGAATTTTGGCAAATGGATAAGTTTCTAGTTTACTACATTTAGTCCAAACTCTCCCGGCGATTTCAAAGTGTATTGCGTTCCGTTGATCGCTTTAGAAATAGACTGCGAGATTGAGTCAGTGCTCCGCTGAGCATTCTGTATTCCGAAGAACTCTGCGATTAAGTCGGAGCTCCCCACATTCACTTCGGATGTTTTTAACTAGTTGACAGCGGCAGGAGTTTCCGGCGTATGAGCAGTCGTGCACGACGTGGAGATGTTCTTCGGCGTGGTTGGTGACCCAGAAGATAGTTCCTTTGTAGGTTCCTCTGGATTCACATATTGAAGAAACATTTCTATTACTGTAACGCTCATTTTGAATTGCAAATACGTCATGTATAATTCGGTTTCGCATAGGATAATTTTGAAAGCATTCCATGATAAACTGTAGCACTTTGTCTCTCTCAGACGATGAACGACAGATTTCAATATTGTCTTCCACAACGAAGTTAGCTTCATGAACTCTCTTTTTAAAAGTAATTTTTTCATTTCCATGCCCTTCATTTCGCATATTTTCAATGCCTTCATTACGTGGCTGTATATTTCGATCGTCCATATTAGTTCCAAAGTGCCTAAGAAACTCTCTGGTGCTGGTTCCGGCATGGCAGTTGTTGGTTTCTTCTTCTTCGCTGCTTTCTCTGATGCCTGTTTCTTCGATCGATCACGCGAAGCGCATGATCATGATCATGATTATGCCCACTACCCCCCCTTGATTGACATTGACATTGATTCGATCGAGCTCGAGAGTACCGTTGAATATTTGGTTTGACATTTTGGTTTGCAAACGATACGAATTCTATATTGGTTCGTGCTAGGTGTACTGAACTCGATATTCAACGGTACTCTCGAGCTCGATCGAATCAATGTCACAATCAAGTCAAGATCGATTTAAAATAACGATCCGTTAGCCATTTCCGTTCTTGACGTCATCACCTTATACTGTAAAGTTCTATAAAGCGACATCACAATTTAAGATAAATATTTTAAAATTGCTACTTTTCTGTTTTATATTATCTATCTTGTATAGTTTCTTTAAGAAAATCTTATTTGGGTATGGCCGCAAAAAATTGTACAAATAACATTCATGACATCGTGACACACGTTACATACATGACCATCATAGAGCTTAGTTCATAATAGAACCTATTGTAGTAGTTCTACTGGTACTAAATAGTTCTAGGCCTGTGGTGGTGATATTATATTTTTTTGATTAACGTTTGGCTTTAGATTTTTTCTTCATATAATATTCTTTGGTTAGCCCATCTTCTTTGTAGTTTTCGTACCAAGAATGTGTTTTCATGAGTTTCAGCACACTTCAGTGATCATTATTATTATCATTTTTCGCAGTATCTTTTGACTTCATTCTGCGACTATTTTGACTCGCCACTGTTTTCTTTTCAATCTTTTATTGTCTTCGGTACATTCCGTGGTTTTTTTCTTTTTTTATTTTTTTCTGCATTTTTTGATTTTATTTCTTCGTACTTCGAATGATTTTGGGTTCGTAACTTTTCACAATATTTTGTTTGCCTTTCGGCATTTGTCAAAGGCATCTGGAATATATATTTTTAACTAATTTCATCCTACTAATATTATATATGTGAAAGTTTGTATGTTCGTTACTCAATATAAGTAGTATACACATATAATGGGTGCTAAATTTCATCAAAATCCATTGAGCCGTTTTTGCGTGATTGAGTAACGAACATATAAACATTCAAAGGATTCTCAAAAAACCAAAGTTAACTCTGACGAAGTCGCGGTAAGGTTATATTTTAAGTAAAATAGTGTAATCTCCGCCTTAGAATCGGTCATGATTGTAACGTTACACATTTCGTTACACATTGTAACACTCATGACACAAAAAAGCGTGCGACATGACCTAAAATTCAAATATCATTTAACTGCAAACAACTACGGATTGTGACGTAGGGTTACCGTTTTGTGTGATAATAAATCTTTCTAAACACGTTAACAGTATACCACAACAAGCAGTACTTACCTTGCAATCAAACATACAAAAAAAATGGTTGCCTGTAAAGTCGGTTTTACGGGCGAAGATTTTACGTGACAACGTCTTTTTCTCGGTAGAATATTTATTGATATGAATATAATTAAATTGCACAATAGGAACAAGGAATTGAATGAAAATAAGAATTGCACAAATTTTAACTATAGAAATATATTTTGTTTACTAAAACATTGTACATGTAAACTTAAACTTAACACGAGAGACTCATCGTAACGTTACCGAGCGTTACACTTTTTCATAAGTGACTCCCAGCCGCAACCTAATTTAAGACGTTGTCACGTCAAAACAATATTTATTGGCGACAAATCTGAAGTCAACACAAATTACGATTTTTATTCGGAAAAATATGGCCGATTTTTATTTCTGAATGTTGTATCTTGCTTAATAGTGTTGCAGTTTATGAAAATAGCAAAAAATATCAAATCACATAAAGGAAACTGGTAGAAACAAACGTTACATTCATGACGTTACACACTCATCATAAAATTGGACACTTTTTTAAAAACGATTAAATATGTAACTGAATCGCTATTTTAATAAGCACGTTTAGAAACACATTGAGAAAGTATCATAAAGCATGAGTACAATTTAATAATTAGAAAAAAACTATTTTTTTTCGGAATTATTGGCAATTTTTGATACAAAGGTGGTAGTTGGACAAACAATTTTTGTATGGGAGTGAAAGCACTACCTTTTAAATTATATTTTTTTTACATATATTTTTTAGGAATGGTAGGTTACATTTCGTCAAAATAATCTAAACAGAAGCTCGTCATTCAGAACAATGTTCAACAAATGACATTTATCAAATAACTTCGAAATTATGAGAAAAATAAAATGGGGACAAAACGAAAATGATATTTGTACAATTTTTTGCGACCATACCCATTTACACCTTTAATTCATTAAAAATGCTGTACTATATCAAAAGTTATTACAATTTGAAGCTATGCAGACTTATAGAAATGTGATTTCATTGTTAATTTAACCAGGATCAAGGTTTCATTAAACCACAGCATTTTTTTAAATTTAAATTTTTAATTTGGTTGTTCTGTGTGTCGGTAATTTTATTTTATGAGTCATAGTAACGAGATTTGGTAAGACAATCTACCATTAGGGCCGCGACAGCGTAATGGTAAGTGCACCCGCCCGGATAGCATAGGGTGCAGGTTCGAGTACCGTCTGCTGCGCGGACCAGCCGCGTGGTTGTTTTCTTCAGATTTAAACATCTAGCAGTTAAATGCTTAAAATATATAAATATACCACTCTCAGCCCAATGCTGCTAAAGATACTGCCAGGGGAAAGAACGAGGCATTAAAGAAAAAACAAAGGGAATGCAAGGTTGAAAGAGAAGGATTGAGAGAAAGAAGGAAAATAAGTTAAAAATGTCTCAATCAACTTCTTATGTTTGGAGTTACAACGATGCAAAAATCATAGGCATAATAAAACTGCATATATGTAGTAAAACTATGATTAAGCTTTATGATTTACCATTTAATCACAGAAACCACTTTTATGATAAAATTTGTATGTCCATTCATTTTGAAGTTTAAGAGCTTGCGCTGCCTTAAGCGGGGCACGAAGCGGCCGGAGCGGACGCCCGCTCCATGACCCGCTTTTCGCAGTACTCGCTCTTAGAGAACTATTCAGTTATTTTTTTCGTAATTCCGTTTAAAGATAGCGGCAAACTTCTTGAGCAAAACCACCGACAAATAAACTTGCGCGCTAGATGTTTTTGTATGTAAAATTTCTACTGCGCGGGCTTCCTCGACTATGGTCGTTGTTCAAGAAGTTTTCCGGGGTGTACACCTACTTTACTCATAGAATCTAACATTATCGTTTGTTGTCTCAATAAATGAAAGAAGAAAGACAATTATTTAGAATTTATTAAATAAAAAAATCGTAACTTAACTGCATTACTTTATCAACATCTTAATACCGATCATTATTTAAAGATACCAAATTTTAACTTTCTTTCAAAAAATCACTAGATTTATCATCTATTTCTGTAAAGTCGTCCATTGGCATGAAGTCGTCGCATTCCTCTATCTTGCTGTCATCTTTCTCCTTATAACCTTTCACGTCATCCAAAGCAGAGTAAACGCATTTCTTCTCGATTTTTGCTATGATTTTCTTGTCGTGGTAAGGGTGATTGTGCAGATTAGCCCTGTAATATAAACACAAGTGCACTTGGTCATTGATAAATAAATAAATAAACTCTTAATAAATTTGAGTTTAGCATATTTTGTCCAAAATTATTTTATGCCTGTAATTATTTTTGCACAAGCTTTTTGTATAAAATTGAGAGTTGTGAGTAAAATGTTTCTTTTTTTGCGCTTCTTTTCCATTTTTTCCGTAAGAACATTTTACAAAGTATAACAAAACTTAAAAAAAATGTAAATCGATGCAGTCGTACTCGAAGACCAAATAAATAAATAATTTAATATCAGACTAAGGGTAGAAAGATATTCTTGTAGACAAATGCCCCCCTTTTTCGATGACTGGGAGTAAAAAATCATTATTTCTATGATAGGATCGAGAAATGAAAGCATTTTGCGAAAAAAATCGCGAGCGCACACAAGTCGGTGATTTAACCTCCGCGGCCGAATGGTTTGTACGCCGGGTTTCATGGTATCACCGACTCGAGAGGTCCGGGATTCGAATCCCGGTGGGGGCGGATGTTTGTGTGATGAATACGAACATTAGTTAGACTCCCGTCATGGATGTTTAATATGTATTTCTATATAAATATACTTATATGTGTAAACAGTATATGTATTCTATCCATTACCCTAGTAACCCATAACAGAAGCCTACAGTGCTTACTTTAGGGCTAGGCTAATTGGTGTGAGTGTTGGAAATTATTTATTTATTAAAATTGTTATGTACCGGTTTAAAACGACATTGCCCTTGGTGACGACAAAAGCCATACATTTATGGTTTCTGTAGTCGACACATCGCCATCGCCTCACGCCGCGCCGGTGCGTTATAGAGTGCATGTTGTATATGTACCGGTTCAGTATTATCTGCAGCGAGCCGCGGATGGACACAGTGAACTGGAGGTTGGAAGACGCTGGAGGAACAAAACATATTTCTTTGACATTGAATTTAGTCCGGCTCTACACGTTCAATTCCTTTATTGCATATCCACAATGTACAGAAAGACGTTAGATATAAGTTATGACAAAATGCGATCATTGCATGCGCAACTAAATATAATACGGTATCATCAATATTGGTCCCAATTCTTTACAGTTTTTCACTAGGTCAAATTTTATACGCATATATAATCAAATAAGCCACTAGCTGCTGCGCCTAGTGGCTTGACTAAAGCGTGATAAAAACGGCCTCACTCAAACTCGCAGTCCTGAACAAGGTGCGGCGTCTTTTCACGCCTGAGCAACTGTGCTTGATGTACAAGACGCAGGTGCGGTCTTGCGTGGAATATTGTGGGCAGGTAAACTACTGTATTAACCAGTCACCGGCTATCTTCGCGTCTGGACTCCACCGACACTTGACATTAGGTGGAGTGGAGTCATTTGTCGGACCTATATATACATATATATGTCGGAGGGGGGGCGAGCGGTAATATAGGCGGTTGGCCACGTGGTTTTTCTTGATCCGCCATCTTGGTTATTCAATGATATTTCCCGAAAATAAAACTGTAGTCTAGTGACCAAGCTAACGTTTAATTTGAATCTTCTTATTACTTTACAAAATCAATTATGATTGCCAAGGTACAAACGGATTGCTTTGTGAAGCGCGGAGAGTTCTGTGCTAACGTCCGTTCACTATCGCGGCTCACGTCTGAATGCCGAATATCGAATGCCGAATGCGAATGCCCCTTCCAATGAAGCGTTACCCCCTTAAATACTACCCTTAGCATAGACCACTCCCAAGTGATGACAGCTGTCACTGTCATAACTTGACGTTTCACAAAGCAATGGTACAATGACTGATGACATTTGTTGTAGGTTTTACGTTTCGCAGGAGCGAGCGAGACGCCATCCGCCGACATATATATAAAAGTAGTGGTCGCCTTAAGTGGCCGCGACTAATGGTTCAATGTGCAGTTCCTCTAAAGGCCTAAACATTAGAAATAATACCTGACATGGGAATACTTTTTCAACTTACGTGTATACGTAGCATTCGAGGTCGATAACGAACTATCGTTGTGGTCATTATCATCAGTGTCATCGTGTGTTATGCCTTCGTCCATGTGGTCGTCACAGTCATCGTAATCGGCTTTGTTAATAACGGTATCCGGAATTTTAACAGGTCTGTAATTGACATGAATTCAAAAGGTTTATAATAATAATAATAATTTGTTTCTTAGGTTTTCACGCACATCACTCATTAAATAAAACTAGTTTTTACGGGTTAATGCACGAAAACTTTATTTATTTATTGAAGTTTCGTAGCCTTTACAGGTTACGTCGTCAGAATAAAACTTTTATTTAATTTGTCGAGCGTCAATAAATAAATAAAGTTTTCGTGCATTAACCCGTAAAAACTAGTTTTATTTAATAATAATAATTTATTCCCAGATTTTTTATACAATATGGTTTTACAAATAACAGGCACAGGATCTTTAGAAACTAAGGATCTGTGGGTACTTAATATAGGAAAACCCTGCAACTTAAGTACCCGCTCTCTTCCAGTGACACAATATAATAAATTTACAAGATACCACATTGTTTAGAAAATATGATTTTAAATGAAAAACTTAAATTAACAAACAAAAAAAATTAAAACTTTTTTAACAAGAATACCAACATTAAGTAATATTTTCAATAATTTTCATACAAGACGGAAAAGGAATCACAACTCATGTGTAGTAAAATCTTCTCAGTTTCGTCATAAGTCAGTGGAAGAAGAAATTGAGTGAGTATGCATTTTAGTTTACAGTAATTTAGTGAATATATATTCAACCTCCGGTTTAAATTATTATAAATAAAATGACCTAGAAAAAGTAGAAATCGTTTTCTAAAAGATTTATTAAATATTTCACTCTTGAAAATCAATTTGTTGCGACGAGACTCACCTTTATAAGGATCTAAAGGTAGTTTGGACTGTTGGTGTATTAATGTATCGTATACAAGATAAATACAGGTCTGCAACAAAAATGCTGTCTGGATGTTTTCAACTGATTTATATGTATTTAGGTGTTCTGAAGACTAAAAAAATACTTTAAAAAATCCAGAACGTCAGGTTGTTTTGCAAAACGCAAAAAAAATACTATAAAAATAGTATTTTGGGCTTAACAAAAAGGATTAAAAAGAGGACCTAAAAATTTATTTTGACTATTTTTTAATGTACACTGGCCATAACTAACACTACTTTCTAAATAAAGAACGCTCTGTGTGAGTTAAACTAACATAACTCATATATTTTATGTTGTAACCTGAAAGTGCGCGCTCCAATAGTATAGAAAGCTATGGGGTAGATTGTTTTATAGATATTGGTTCAATATACTAGTACAATATCTTCTGTACGGAAGTTTGTGAATTTATCTGACAGTTTTTGTTATTTTTTTGATATACTTAATATCAAAATTTTCAGACCTCTAAGGGGCAAAGTTGAAAAAGATGTTTTCGTTGGATGAGATATTAGATGGCTTATGGCTGATCCACAAATCATCAAAACCATGACGGATCCCAAAGAGAAGGGTGGATTGGCTTTAAAGAGGCCATAGAGAAATTATTCGGCAGTAAAAAAGAACCACAACTAATACAAGTAATCGTCCCAAAAAATATTAAAAGCATTTTAAGCTTTTTTAGTTCGTATTCCATATTCATTTCTATAATTCGCTGGTTTACCCCTACACTTTTATGCTAACTATTGGTATAATATTTTAAAGAAACAAGGTACTAGAAGTTAACACACAAACACCCTATTTTTTCCAAAACCACTAGAAATATATTTGAAAGCTTAAGTGGTTTTTGAAGAAAGTATTAATCCCTTACCCTAGCCCTACCCTTTCCCCAAGCTAAATTAAAAAGCAAATACGTAGATGTTTCTCCGTCATTTACTAATCTTTGGCACTTAACAGACAAAGTTTTTTTTAATTTTGTCGCTATTTATATCGCACAAAGGAGCTTCAAGTAAGTATTATTCATTTATATTAATCTCTCGAAATTTATTGACCATTTTTTTATAAGTAGCTTATTTTAAAAATTCTGAAACATTTTTATATTGAAGATTTTATTGTTACATACAATTTAACTAAAGTAATTACCCAAGAGCCTGCGACGGCCAAACCTTCGTTATGTTAATTTAAGCTGAAACTTATCTGTGCCTGTCCTCAATACAGAAAGTATTGATCAGCAACTATAAAAAAAAGGTCACTGTGGCTTTGACAGGTAACTAAGGCAGGCAGGTAATTGGCAAACTTTTTTCATATTACATTTAGAATTTTTAAATTTCATTCATTGCAGCTTAAGTTTCGATGCAGGTTTTCATGTTTTTGACGCCCCAGGCGCTACACTATACATATATATAGTTGAAAGAAAACAACTTCCATATATATATATAGATAGTAGGAGAGCTAGCGACGTCACGAAAAAGGTTATTTTAGGTCGGCTAATTTTTGTATAATTCCCATTCTTATTGACAGTGGGTTGGGATGCGGTACGTCTGGCACCCAGAAGCCGTTGCGTTCAGTTGCGCGCATCCCACCTGTACAGGTAAGAATTGTGCATTTTGAAATCATTTTAAGACAATTTTTTTTTTAGAAATTTTATGTGTCTCGTTAGCAATATAAATTTATAATTGCCAGACATTTTTGTCGTTGCTAACCTTGCCCCAGACACAATTTCAAAAATTAAAAAATAATTATTTTTAAACAATTTTAGTATGTCTGTAACTTTGATATAATGTAGTTCAGCAATAAAAAAATATGAGAAAAAATTGCCAGACAGAAATTCCGTTACTTAATAAGAATTCAAGTCAATTTAAGTTTCGGAGAGAATAGGTTAATTATAAGAGTGCGGCGCTCAGAGGGGGTAGAATTGGTATCCCAAATGGTAAAATTAAAATGTCTCCGAATCTTCCGAATATTTCCATTTTTTTACACTTTTTGAGGCAATTGAGAAAAAAATGGGTTATCTCCGAAAAAATGGGAATACGAATTTCTCCCGTATTTTCCGAGCTTCGATGTACTTACTACTGCAGTTATATTGAACTTTAGATTCCTTGACTATTTATCGTGCACATATTTCCAAAAATGGACAAATCATAATTGAATGATTTTACTTGAAAAATATTACTATTATGACGAAAATTTTATTTAGTTCACGACAAGCAATGGATTGCACCAACGGATTCGGAGAAATCTCCAGCAGTAAAAAATTATGATATTCTTCAGAAAAATTTGGAATGATTTATAAATTATTTTGATAAATTATGAGTTTCTCAAAAAGCGTAATGAATATGTAAAAAAGGATTTTTTTAAGCATTTTGAATAATTTTGTAAAAATTTCGGAGGAACTTTTCCACTAGATATGTGATAAATGTCGAAACAAAAAAATATTTCTATGTATATAGGTTAGAACTTCTACACTAATTGAATGGAATAATAACTAAAATGAGATAGCAAAAATTGATAAAACATATTATCAGAAAAATAATAATTTTTTTATTGTAAATAGCTGAGAATTGGGAAGGATATAAAAATTAAAAAAAAACATTAAATACATTAAAGATGAGTAATTATTATAATTATTTTTAATTAATAATTTCTTGACATCCAAATTCTTCGGCGTCAAGATCATCTTCGTCACTGCTATTGTTGTCATCAATATTCATATCATCAGTATCATTGGTTTCTTCGGATGTATCGTCGGTTTCAATGATCTGAGTATAAATATAGTTTATGAATTATTATTAAGTTGTTCTGTGTTTTTTGAGAATTTTGTATTTTTTTATTCGATTAATATTTACCTTCAAGTATAATATCAGCAACTGATGATGGTAATTGGTCACCAACGAACCAGACAAAATCATATGAATTATTTTTCATTGTCCAACCACAAGCTTCTGGGGATAATGACGATGGATGTTTTAGGTAAGCATTACTCCAAAATTTCGCAATATAACGGACCCGTAATAAATGTTGCCGTAATTCAGCTTTACATGGAGGTAGATTAGATGGATCAAAATTTCGAAAAACGAAATTGGATTGTCAACTTCGACGATTGGAGTATCATTATCGACAGTAGTCTCAGGTACATGCATAGAAGAATTTGACTGTGATAAGCTAGTACAAGATGTACTAGAAACATCAGTAATCGATGAAAAGTTAGATACACATACATTACGATATTTAGACATCAATGATGTAAAAGTACTATAACAATGTCTATGGTATCCAACAGTAGCATTCACATTGTCCGGTAACTTCAATTAAGCATTTAAAATTTCTGCACACTTTTTCAATTTTTCTTCGTTAAATATTATTATTTTACCACTTTGATCTGAGCAAAAAACACATTTTTCTTTTTCGTTAGCCATGACGAAATTTTTCTATTAAAAAACACGAGACAACAAAATACAAGCGTTTACACTCGTGTAGGTGACGCCACGTTGAAAATAGCAGCTGTGGCTATACTTCTCTCCCTCTACCGCTCTCTGTCGCAGGTATCTCTCTCACACAACCGACGAATTAGTTTCCGCACTCTTCTAACTCACCTATTCTCCCCGAAACTTAAATTAATTTAAATTCTCATTAAGCAACAGAATTTCTGTCTGGTAAATTTTTATCATATTTCTTTATTGCTGAACTACATTATATCAAAATTACAGACATACTAAAATTGTTTAGAAATAATTATTTTTTAATTATTGAAATTGTGTCTGGGGCAATGTTAGCAACGACAAAAGTGTCTGGCAATTATGATTTTATATTGCTAACGAGACATATGAAATTTATAAAAAAAAATGTCTTAAAATGATTTCAAAATATACAATTTTTACTTGTACAGGTGGGATGCGCACAACTGAACGCAACCGCTTCCAGGTGCCAGACGTACCACATCCCAACCTACTGTCAATAAGAATGGGAATTATACAAAAATTAGCCGACCTAAAATTCATTCTCGAAAACGTTGCCAGCTCTTATACTAAGAGGTTGTTAAAGACACACCAAATTAGCTTTGCCCCAAAATAAGCACTATAAGGCTTGTGTTATGGGAAACTAGGGTAACGGATAGAACATATACTGTACATATATAAGTATATTTTTATAGAAATACATATTAAACATCCATGACTGGAGTACAAATGCTCGTATTCATCATGCGAACATATGCCCCCACCGGGATTTGAACCCGGGACCTCTCGAGTCGGCGACACCATGAAACCCGGCGTACAAACAAACCACTCACTCAGCCACGGAGGTCGTCAAAATTTCATTACACAGAGATTTCATTGTATTGTAAAAGTTGTATTTTATATGTTTCTAAATAAAATGTATGAAATGCAACTTTTACAATACAATGAAAGAAAAGGGTCTGCATGTATGATATGCATGATGATGCATGGCTTTTTTCTTTCACTATATTGTAAAAGTTGCATTTTACATATTCAATTTGGAAACTAGCAAGCCAAGCAGGGCCGGATTTAGAGATGTGACGGCCGGATTTAATCTTGGCATTGCCATGTGTCTGACTACGAACGATATGATTTCTAATATTAACATCCAGAAGGTAAAATACAAAAAAAATATCCTTTATAGTTTCACAATTGTGGGTACTAGAGGGGACAAAGCTGGGGGTAAAGAGCGGGAATGACAACCACAATGATCCATAGTATCGCTCCAGCCTGTATTGGGCACATGTGCATTGATATTTTTAAGAGTTTCAGCTTTGTATAAAATTATGGAGGTCTGGCTATTGTGGGCTCAACATCTATAAGGCGATTAAGTTTTTACTTACGTAGCAGTAGATTCTTGTTTGATACAAATTCTTTTTGCACCAGCTGGTAAGCCTATCTGAAAATGCATAGCTTTTAAGTAATAATAAATAATAAAATCTAACTACGAAATAAGTATCTAGAAACTAGGATAATCATACTTGTTCCACTCTCTGATTCACTCCAACAGCCACCCTTTTGATACCAGTCATATGACCTAGTCCACTCTCTTCCACCTGTTGAGGCTGTGCTGCTACATTATCCAACAAGTTCTCATTGCTTATCTGCAAGTATAATGAAACATCATAAATAGATATTTTTACAGTTAGTCTTAAATAACAGATAAATAACTTCAAACTAAGGCGGGTTCAGATCTACAAAATGTTACATGAAATGTAACACGCAATGAAAGAATTTGCCGTCCACATTGTCGCTATGTATCATGCAACGTAAGAGACTTCCCATAGTGTGGACGTGTCGCGCACACGAACCGTGCACACTACGTGCATGAACAAAGCATTTCAAATCGTGCGCGCTGCGATCCAGAAATTTTCGGTTTTTTCGTAGAACACAAAAGGGCGTGCAGTGTGCACGGAGCACCAGTGCGGACGGGTTATGTGTGTTTAACTGCGGAACATGCGCAAACAATGGAGGACGAAGACAACAGCAACGGCAGATGCTATACCTCGAAGCCTGCTGCGTTTTTTTACCACATGATTCACTTTAGATTTAAACATGTAGTTGTTGAATGCTTAAAAAGTAAAATAAACTACAATTGCTATTCCTTCTTTCAAATGTTAACACTTGTTAAGGTATTTCGTTTGGCATTGTGATTTATCTACAATATGAAGAGATGGCGCTGCCCTGCAGCCTAAGAAATACTAGAAGAAATTAGATACGAACATTCAGGTTGCGGTAACATAATTGGTCTGTGTATCCGCCTGGATAGATGAGGTTGCGGATTCGAGTCCCGTCTGCTGCCTAGACCGCGTAGAATTTTTCCTAGTATGTAACATGTTCTTTTGATATTTATAAACATCTAGCAGTTAAATGCTTAAAAACATATACACTTCTGGACACATCTATTGGCCCACCTTGTATTTTCAGTTTCGTTTGGTCCTAGCTAAAAATTTATATTAATAAATAATTTATATTTCGAGCAAAAAGTTTTTATGCAGTTTTGAACCTGGCACATTTACAATTTCATTCAATAGTCTTTTTTTGAATTTCGAACACAGAATTTAAAGAAACAAAAGACAATTCGGAGCCTGTTTGTTGATATCAAACAATCGAATACTAAGAAAACTTGGTTTTATTGGTTTATTTGGATTTAATTCTTGAAAAAGTGATTGATATCTTTGGTTTTGCAACAAACATTACTTATTCTTAACATTAAGGAGAGGTTCTATCAATAATCTATGGATACTTCACCTGAAGACGCCGCCCAAGCTGTGTCGTCGAGTCAATGAAGCTTTTTACCTGGAAACCCGGTGGAACAGCTACGATTTTGATGATTCTTTTTTTAATAATTTTGTTTTTTTATATTATTTGAAATCAGAAACCTCTGGAGAGGGGGAAATATTTTTTTATATTAATTAAACAATTTTTATGTCATTTTTAGAAAAAAATGTTTTTTTATAAAATATCAATTGAAAACTCACAAAAAAAATATGTTTATGTTATTGTTTTCATATTGTTATCACAAATAATTTTAATTTACATGTTATTAAATCAAAAACTTTGAAAAACAATTAATTATAAGATCTTTCATGTAAGAAGGCTTACATCAGAGCGGATGCCCAGCGCGTTGCACGTATTATCCAGGAACTTATAACGCATCCTACGTTCCCGTAGCTACTGGCGTTTGGCCAAAGCCGTGCAAAAAACCTTCTGCCAGCCCTCGCTGCCACCTCTGAGATGCCCAGACGGAACACTAGCTCATAAGCCGCAGGAGAAAGCCGATTTACTGGCAAAACTCGTTGCGGCTAACTCCCGAATCGATAATTGCAATGCACTACCACCATCATTACCTCATTGTGGCACAACGATGCCTGATATTAAAATCAGGCAGTGTGAGGTTTGTGCCGAATTGCAATCAGTCGACGTCCGGAAAGCTAGTGGACCTGATGGCATCCCAGCAGTAGTACTGAAAAAATGTGCAACGGAGTTGACTCCTGTGCTCACGCGCTTGTACCAATGCTCGTATTCTTTGGGGCGTGTGCCGGAGACTTGGAGAGATGCTAACGTGCAACCGGTGCCCAAAAAAGGGGATCGCTCAGACCCGGCAAACTACCGGCCAATAGCAGTCATCTCAGTTTTATGTAAAGTTCTAGAAAAGCTCCTTAATAACCATCTGACCCGTCATCTTATTTTATATTTATTTTATTTATTTATCATCTTCAGGGCAAAACACTACCGCTACAGAGCAACATTTCCATGCTCGGTATGGAAGTTCGCTCAGACCTAAATCCAAAAGACTACATCGAAACCGTGATCAAAACAGCTTCACGCAAACTCGGAGACCTGAACAAGGTGCGGCGTTCTTTCACGCCCGATCAACTGTGCTTGTTGTACAAAACGCAAGTGCGGTCCTGCGTGGAATATTGCTCGCACCTCTGGGATGGCTCCGCCAAGTACTTGCTCGATGCTCTGGATAGGTTACAGCGCCGCGCGATCCGCATCATAGGCGATGAGGAGGTGACTAAACACCTTGAGCCGTGACGTGGCGTCACTAAGCGCGTTCTATCGTCTGTACCACGGCGAGTGTTCTGAGGAGTTATTCTCTTAACCCACCTTCCCCTTTCCTTCAGAGGACAACGCGAGCTGGCCTACATTGTCACCGTCTTACTGTGGCCACAATTCCAACGCGTACAAAGAAATTTGGTGACTCATTTCTTTGTCGCACTATCCGTAAATGGAATGCTCTGCCCGCTCACGTGTTCCCTCCCTCTTACAACCTGGGATCCTTTAAAAGAGGCGTGAAGAAGCAACATGCAGGCCGGCAGGGTGAGGATGGCTGGTGTGGCAGGTAGAACTGCTGTATCAGCTATCTTCGCGTCTGGACTTCACCTTCACTTAACATCAGGTGGGGTGGAGTCATTTGTCGGACCTATCTATAAAATATATATATATATGAAGTAACTAAAGTATAACGTAAGTGCTCAACGCATTCTTATTATTGACCAATACATCGTATTTTAATGGTTTAAATATTAAATTATTATTAAAAGCCTCATTTTAACAACTATTTTTTATACTAACATTAACAAAAATAATAATATTTTTTTCAAAAAAAAGCGATAAAAGTGATTTTTTTATAAAAATGTCATAAATATTGTTTAAACAATAAAAAAAAAATTCCCCCCTTCCAAAGGTTTCTGATTTTGAATAATATAAAAAAAAACAATTTTTAAAAAAAAAATATCAAAATCGGAGCTGTTCCACCGGGTTTCCAAGTTTTGCCTGTTTTATGTCTTTATTGACTCGGCTAGTGGCACTTATTCAGGCCGGACACAGCCAAAGAAACGTGAGTGCTCAACTTAATTTAAGTCGATCTGCGGTCCGAAATGTTTATCGGAGGTACCTAGAGACTGGCAGCTTTGTTCGTCGCCAAGGAAGGCCACGATCTCGGGTCACAACTGAAAGGCAGGATCGATTCATCGTGACGACCAGCTTGAGAAATGGTCACCTTACCTCCATTGAGATACAAAAACAAATTCGCGACTTCCACGGAGTATCTGTGAGCGCTCGAACTGTTCGGAGAAGGTTAAAAGAACGCGATATGGTACCACACAAGCCAGCTAATGGGCCCAAACTAACGCGAGCCCACCGAACAGCGCGCCTTCATTTTGCACGCAGTCATTTAAACTGGACACAGCAAGAATGGAGCCGTGTACTCTTTTCTGATGAGTCTAAAATTGTGTTACATGGCAATGATGGAAGGAAGAAGGTCTACCGACATAAGGGAGAGCGTTTCGCACAATGCTGCTTTGAAGAGAGGGTTGTTTATGGCGGTGGCTCATGGACTGTCTGGGACGGTATATCCGCGAGCGGCAAAACTCAACTTGAGGTTGTTACAGGACCACGGCTGCCAACATTAACTGCTGAAAGGTACATTCGTGAGTGCTTAGAACCTCACGTGATACCATACGCGGACTATGTGGGCCCAAATTTCCTTTTTATGCATGATAATGCAAGAGCCCATGCGGCCGGCATCGTCAGGGAATATCTTCGGGATGTGAACATCACAGTTATGGACTGGCCAGCCAGAAGCCCAGACATGAACCCCATTGAGCACATGTGGGACGAGCTAAAAAGACGTGTTAGGGCTCGTCAGCCAGTTGCCCAGACGATGCAGGAGTTGAAAACTGCCATAGAAGAGGAATGGGAGATGATCCCTCAAAATTTCATAGAGCGGTTGATAAACTCTATGCCTAATCGTATGAGAGCTGTGGTAGATGCCCATGGAGGCAACACGCGTTATTAAATTAAACCTTTATTTGATAAAACATGTTTTTTATTCAAAAATCAATTGCCTTTAACAAGGCGCATATCCGACTTGTTAGGCGTAGCTCCATGTCGTATGGTATTCTGAATTCAAATTTAAAACAATACGATCGAAAAAGATGGTAAAATGTATCAGGTTTAAAACTGCATCAACAGTTTTTGTTCAATCTAGCAATCATATTTCGGTAGGGGCCATCGAAACCTAAACTCTAAGGTGGGCCAATAGATGTGTCCAGAAGTGTATAATAAACATGATTTACTATTTAATAATGAAGTCACGATCCATTCTCTTCGCGTGTTCTTGACTGCTCTACGTACACCTCGCCGAGCGCATGCCGCAAACACATGCTCGATTCGTGCGTGCGCTGCGTCCACACTTATGAAATGCTCTTTTCATGTTACATTGCATGTTACGTTACAGTACTTAGTCTTTACCCGCCTTTACATAATACTGTTTAAAGTGGCATTTTAAATCATTAAGTGGAGTAGAGAATACTATGCCTTGCATAAAAAACCGCCTAAGTGCGAGTCGGATTCGAGCACGAAGGGTACCGTACCATTATTTATACAACATTAGACACTATATTATAATATCGAGCAAAAAATCACGTTTGTTGTATGGGAGATCGCAACGAAACGCGAAAGAAAAAATCAGCGTTTTCAGTATTTGTTGTTTAAATTCAGCATATGGGACGCCATAATTATACCAAATTTAACAATCTTAACTAGTTTCGATTTGGAGATAGACTTTGTAACCAAAATGGTCTAAAAATTACAACTTCGACAGCCCCAATTTCTATGTTATTGAAAATGAAAATTTATAAAAAATATATTTATTTATATCCTACTCACCGAGCTCTAGACAATGAAATGTCACATGGTGAGATAAAAACAAAAAAATCGTCTCCTTTTCTTGTATAAAGACGGACCATGAAAATAATTTCTGGTTTTTTTTTGCTAAATATTCGGCTTTGGATAGATAAGAATTTCAAAATAATTAAAAAAAAACATTTCAAAAGCAAAATGTCAAAATTTCAGTTTTTTACTCATTCCTTTTGTAATCTAGAGAAGCCCGTGATATACAGACAGACGGACAAGGGTGTTTCTATTTTCCATAACTTTGATTTTCATGTGACTTTGATCTTCCCAAGAATCTTACTAGTACACAAGACATATAGGCCAAATCTCATGAAGATTGAAGAATATTTAGAGGTTGCACATATTGGCCACTTTTTTCTCATGTGTAGTGAAATGCGTTATACTGAAATGTTTTCTAATAATGTAAGTTTAGAGTCCTAAAATGGAGGTTAAATTAAAGGTTGCAATGAACTAATTAATTAAAGGTTATCAAACAAGAGAGCTTTTAATTTAAAATCTTTCAGATAGCTCATCTTTTATATCATTCCTTTATATGTTTTGTCTATTAGTTTTTGATACTTTTTTTATTTATATTTGTTTGGTCTCTTTGACATTAAAAAAGATTGCTTTACCTTGTCACTGCCACCAATGTTTTCTTTTCTCTTTAATAATAATTAAAAATACAGTCCTTATCCTCTACACCTATCACCTAATCTAGAAAATCTTTACTAATTCAAAACAGTTCTATTTTTCCGATTTTTGAAGCGTAAGTATAGTTTCTAGTCATAGATAAATGATTGGTCTCGCGCTAGACCAATCCATTCATCTATGTTTCTAGTATTCTTTTTGCCATTCTGAAGAATGTTGTAAATGACGGCCGAGTGTTCCTGACATCCCTTTTTCCCGACAGTTTCAAAGTATGTTTAATTTACTCGATAAAAAGTTATATACGATAATTAACAGGACGAAGAGATTCCAGTCCATGGGTTTCTAGATGCAAAACGAGTGACAATAGTTCTGCATTCAAAATTTTCTAAAAAATGGAAATTACCCAATAGTACAGTCATTTGGTAGTTTTACCTGGAAAGTTTTCCGGGAGTTTTGAAAATTGGTAATTTTATAGATTGTGAGGTGCTCTTTCCGAATTTCGACTTTATGTATCTACCTTGTTTTCATAAAGTCAATAGTTTTGGCGGACGCACGCTAAAAGTGTACTCCAATGCGCGCTTTGGTCATTACTCATTATTGTGGATGTTTGTGGATGCAGAAAGGCTGGGTTAAAGTGCTCTGTTATAGGTATGCACGAATTGTAGCGGTGCCTGTGGTAACTCGCAAGTTCCATCACCACATCATCAGATAGCAATGATGAAGAAGAAACGGAGACTATAATTGAGAAAATATATGATCAAATCGAGAACGCAGAGGATTGCGATGAAATTGATACTCCCATCGCGAATAATGTAGATGAAATACCGGTCTGCGACGTTTCGATTGGTACTACAGACGATGAATTTGCAACATCTGGTCCATCGAGAATAACAAAGCGATGTGGATAAGGCCTATTGGGGATACCACATTTAAAAAAAAACGCGCCACTTACTCTGCCTAAAGGTGGTGTGGAAAAGGAGTTTTTTTGGCCAAAATGCGCGGAGTACACTTTGCGGCGCTCGTACGCCAAAACTATTGACTTTATGAAAAAAAGTAGATACATAATTATATTGGAGGTAATTGTCTCTAGTTTCATTTTGTATATAACTGTTTTTATCGTAAAATGAGTCGGAAAGGAGATATTGTGAAAAAAACTGCTTTTAGGTGGCATTTTCCAATATGGCGGCGCGAGCGGAAAAAATACGAGGTGGCAAAGACGAAATTCGGAAAGAGCATCTCAAAATTTATAATATTACCAATTTTAAACTCCCAGAAAACTTTCCAGGTAACCACTATATTTCTCACCAAATGACTGTACTACAAGAGAAGATCTGAATGTTATCACAATTACGAATTCCTTTTCTAGGAGGTTGATTAATTAAATAAATTAATAATTGTCAGGACCTTAAACGCCTTACATAAAAGGAAGTGGATAATGTAGGCAATGTATGCAATGAAAATGGCTTATTTCACCAAAGTATATGACACTATGTTTTCGCTTATGGCCATTAAGCATTAAGCAACTGTTAGCCAATGGGCTCCAAAGAATTATCTGGAAATAATAAAATAGAATTAAAAAGATGGGGTGCAAAAACCTAACTTTTGGAGAAATTGCTTGACCTGAGCCTTATCTTTACTACTAAATGTAAGAAGTTTTTTTGATTTTTTTGTGATTGATTGTTCCAGGCGATGTGATTGAATACTTTGATGATTCAATGAAAAACTATGTGGATGCTCTTAAGGTTGTTATGATCATGCAGGAAAGGAGGATTTTTTGAACTAAAACAGTGGCAGTTAAAAAATTTCAAAATCACAGGAAAAAAGTAACCATGTGGTCAAAAGAAGGAATTGTGTGTTACAAAGTTGATATATAGCATGATTATATTCCACTGTAATGCCTCTTATTTTAAATTATATTTGAATTTGATTTCATGTGTGATATATAGTTTTTTATAAAAGTAACATAAATTAAATATATCTGCATTCTGTTACATTTTTAAAAGTGATCATTCTGTGCAACCTCTAAATGTTATCCAATCTACCTGAAATTTTGCATGGATAAATTCATTGAGAGTCGGGGGTAAGCACTCAGCAAAAAAAAATTTTTTGCCTAACAAAATGAAACACCACAGTCTGACAACATGGTGACAGCAATAGGGTTCCTTTTTTACCATTTGCATTCCATTTATACCACATTTAAAAAGCTTTAATGTTTTTATAAAAACTATTAATTACTCACAAAATTTTCAAGTCCTTTAATATGTAGTGACTTTGCTGCTGCCACAAAAGATGATATTTTATCGGCTGGAACAAGTACCTCTCCAGTATATATATATTCCAACAAGTAAGATAAGGTTTTTTGGGAAATGTTCTGTAAAATATTTTAGAAAGTTAATAGTTATACTTTAACTCTTTTTGCATTGCCAAGTTGCAGAGGTTGCCCTCTGAGCTAAATATTTAATAATATGAAAAATATTATAAATTCTTCCTGCTTTCCTATTTCCTATAAGACATAAAATTATAAACATTAACAGTATATTACTCGTATGTGTAATTAGTAGTGTATTAATAATATAATCTCATTAAAATGGCTATATTTTATGGATATTTTGTAATGATACTTTTAATGTATGTAGATATTTTATAGGTCCAAGGTTTAATTTTCTGTTTTTTTTTATGTCCTTTAGATATTCCCGGGCGTTGACATTTTAAAGTTCTAAACTTTAAAATGTAAAGTTCTAAACTTTAAAATGTAAACGCAATTTAGTTTTTAACATACCAACAGCTAGCTTCAATAATCAAACTCCCGTATATAGGCCTATTGCAGCTCTATTACCTACATATTTATATTAATTACATTAAAATAACAACTATTTCTAAGAAACAGAACCAGATTTTCCATACCTTTTCCTGGAGGAAGTTGATTTATTGAAACTGGCTGTCAGAAATCAGTTGTTCAACAAAATATACAACGTACTTACATAGAGAAACACAACTGGGTGAGGGCATGGTGCAGATGCAATGAGTTCCTTTAGAAAAGGGCTAGCCAAGGCAACTAAAACTTGGTGCACTTTAACATAACACCCATCAGCAGCAAGTGTCATGTCAACGAATTCTCCATTCTATGATAAAAAAAATGTTTTCCAGTATATACTATAAATTTTAAATGAACTAAGCAGTGTAAATGTACGTATTTCATGAAAGCATTTAAGATTTTTGTGTAGATACCTGTTGCAAAGCACTGAATCCCTTACAGACGTTGGCATTGTAAGATTCCCACGACACTGAAAATTGTGACTGCATATTAATAGATACAGTTTAATATTAGCAATATTGTATCTTGAATAAGTCAGGAGACGTAAATCTTTCGTAAAATTTAACTCAATTTGTATTTATTTTTAATAAAGAAATCAAGTACAAACAAACAACAATCAAAGACCACAGACAACAGATGAGTTACTCTGTGGACAACTGGCAGCAAGACAGCAAGTTGTCCTTATCATAATCTATAGAGAATGCAAAAGAGAGACTGACTGTTGTCAATAAAAAATCCCATGCAATCTTCCGTAAATTATTTATCAAATCTTTCTTGGAAAACACACATAGATTATATATAAAGAAAATTGAATTGGGACTTAACATTATGAGGTCTTTGGTGTTTTTCCAATTACAGAGCATAATGCGACTCAGTGGCGCACAATGCCGAATTATGCTGCTGCTTAATTGGAACGTGAATTAGTTTTCAAATGCACCAGCAGAGTGCGCTAAGTTCAGTGTTGAAAAAAAAGTCAATATTTGTACCTTCATCCATATTTATATTTAATTTTTAAACACAGTTTGAATTAACTTTGATTATTTAAAAAAAACTATAATGAAACGAAAGTTTTAATAATTTTTCAAAAATCAATAATATTACTAAAGTACGATTATTAATTCCAGTCAGTAAAATGACATTTCCAATGTTGCAGGTTTTTTGTCCCAAATAAATAGTGATGGGTAGAATCGAATTTTTACAATTAAAAGTTAGTCGAGATTACATTTTTTTTATTCAATATCAAATTGCATTTATAAAATATATAAATAAAAATATGTTATTTACGGTAATTAAACAGAACACATACACAGTAAGTAATTTATTTAATATTACATAAAACACTGTTGTATTAAGTTAAATATCTCATTGTGTTGACATTGTGAATTTTTGGTTATTGGAAGCACTATGGTCAACACTTGTCACGCTATTGACGCCATTTTGTTTTTCATTCTGCTCCCGAATTCCGACGGTGTCAGAAGTGTTTAGTGTCCTCTGCAATTTCTTGTTTATTTCTTACTTGTTAACTTGTTATTTTTTTGTTGAGTTTTGTTATGTTTGTTGTTTTTGCTAACGTTCAGTTTTTGTTTTGTTACGTTGGTGTTTGAAATGGATCCCCAACCGTCCACCTCTAAAGAGGGATGTCTCCCTCAAAAACGAAGGCGTCTATTATTTGTTGTGAGTGAGAAACAAATGGTCCTCAATGCATATAATTATGTATGGAATCAAAATGCAGCAAAACCTTTTGATGTTCCAAAGAAAGATGATTGTGTGAAGACGGTATTATCGCGACGGGCAAACGTGACCAAGTCGCGAAATGTAAATATTGGATATGGCAACAAAATCCTGTAATCTGTGGTGAGTAACATTAACCGAATTTTAATACTTAATCTGTGGTCCGTAGCTCCGCGCTTTTTTACCTGTCAGAAAAGTTTTCTTTTCCTGTTCAACTCCCGCTGAAATGTGTGCTGCTTGCGAGATTCTGGATATGAGAGCTAAGTATATTCCCCGAGTCAATTAATTACTATTTATGGTCCATATGATTTCACGTGTCGATTGGTAGGTCAAAAGAGGGACTTACCTTTATTAAGAGCAGTACATTGGTAACATTGATTGGCGATTGTACTGGCGAACGCTTGCGGGCGTTGCGCGGGATGATGTTAGCCAGAACAATGGCTTACCTATGATACGAGCAGTACAATTGTAACATTAATTGGCGATTGTACTGGCGAACGCTTGCGGGCGTTGCGCGGGATGATGTTAGCCAGAGGAATGGCTTACCTAGGATACGAGCAGTAAAATTGTAACATGGATTGGCGATTGTACTGGCGAACACTTGCGGGTGTTGCGCGGGATGTTAGTCAGAGTGCACTTAACTGAACAAGGGAGGCCAAAGAGAGTGTGTGCGAGGTTTGCTTGACACACCTTGGCTCCACGATGAACAAGGGAGGCCAAAGAGAGTGTGTGCGAGGGTTGCTTGACACACCTTGGCTCCACGATGAACAAGGGAGCCCAAAGAGAGTGTGTGCGAGGGTTGCTTGACACACCTTGGCTCCACGATGAACAAGGGAGGCCAAAGAGAGTGTGTGCGAGGGTTGCTTGAAACACCTTGGCTCCACGATGAACAAGGGAGGCCAAAATGAGTGTGTGCGAGGGTTGCTTGACACACCTTGGCTTCCTGATCAAAGGCTTATGATAATCAAACAGGATACGCTGAAAGTGTCCTAAGTATCATGAAATGTAATGTAAAATGAGTAGAAAATCGACGTGAATGTATATGTGAATGTTGATGTGTGTGTACATATAATGTATAGGTATTAATCATGGCGAAGAAGATGCTTAGTGTCTCAACTCTGAGATTCATGGTATAATTTCTCTATACAGGTTCCTTGATGATATTGACAATTGACGATGGGAATAAATTGAAATAAGCGAAGCAGATATCTATAGCAAATTTAACACAAGACAGAATAAGGTATGAAACATTAATATAACTTGCACTAGTATAGTAACATGTTTAAATTTTTCTATGCCGAAAGTATGAATAATCGCGGTCTATCTCAGTCCATTGTACACCCTGTTGGTGTGGGTTGTAGGCAGACGATGAGACATGTGTGGTTCTGTGTGATTTCGGGTTGAACCTCTTAAGAATGTGTCAGTATTTGGTAGTAGTTAATACACTTCATTGCACTAGGTATAAAGATAGAATAAGACAACCACACAGAATGCCCACAGAGTCTCTGAGCTACAGGTATCTCAAATTTTGGGAATTTCGACTAGATCTGTATATCGGATACTGAAAGAACAAAAGGAGAACGTTCAGTTATCAAATCGGAAAAAATCTGGACCCAAACTGACATTCAAAGATAAAATTAATGATTTTGACTTTTCGGCGATACGTCGTAAAGTTCACCAATTCTTTTATGAGAAGGACCCTCCAACTATTGCCAAGGTATGTAAATCAATAAAATTATAATACAATACAAAATATATAATTATACATCATATATACATAATAATAATTAATACAATTTGTCATTGTCTCGCTGTTGTTTACAAAAATTAAATCCTTGTAATATTTTACAGGTTCATCAGGTTGTAAATGATGACCCTGACCTACCAAATATGTCAAAGAGTACCATGCGAGCAGTTTTAAATCATTTGAAATTTAAATATGGCCGTCGCAAATATGCTGGTCCATATTTCTAAAATGATATTATTTCAAATGGTATGTATTACATATTTACAATAAAAGAAAACGCTTTGATACCTAATTAAATAAAGCATGACTAAATGTCTAAGTCTATTGATTGCCGAACATCACTATTGTAGCGGGTCACCCTTTTTTGTATCAGTGACATGCACTTGTCATTTTACTGACTCGAATTAATAATCGTACTATAACGATAACATATAAATAAAACATTTCGATCAATGCCAACTTAAAGATAAAACACTTGTTAATTTTCTGTCTCTGAGTTGGTACGATTGCACGCATCACACGAAAGCATTACTTTTGAGAGTGCTCGATTGTGCGAAGCGTTGCTGTATTTGGAACACTCAACGTTAAGCATTATGCCGCATAATGCGCTATAATGCTGTAATTGGAAAGCTACCAACGTGTGGAGTGTCTTGGGGCGCCGACCGTAAAATCCTTAAGAGTTAAGACCCTATATAATACAACAGTTCGGAACTTCGGAGTCATTTTGACTATGGCTCTATGTTTTTTTACAAATGCTTCCGATAAGTTTTTGAAAAAATTAGACATTGGTGCCAATTCTGGCGCTCTACTTTGTAAAATGATGCCGATTCTAGCATGATTCTCTAAACTTAAAACTAAATTTAACATCAGTCTCTCCTTTTCATTCTTTATAGAGAATGACAAGGATATACTGCTATCAAATTTAAGTTTAGGTTTAGAGAATCATGCTAGAATCGGCACCATTTTACAAAGTAGAGCGCTAAGTATTATAACTGGTGCTTTGATGTCCTCTCTCATTAACTCTTTGGTAGTAGAAGCAGGAATTGTTCCACTCTCAGTTCGAAGAAGCTACAGAACTGATAAATATTGTCTTAAACTGGTTACACGAGATAACACTATTACATCTATTAGGTACTTAGAAAATAATTTAATACCTAATTTTATTCTGATTTCTTTACTAATAATTGTTAATTCATTGCCTCTTTCTATATCATACTTAAACTTTGAGTTCCTCGATGTTGTTTATTGATCCAATTTAGTGCCTTGTATAATTCCAATTTTACACTGTTATATTGGACATGGATTTTGGAATTCCTTAACCCAAAACTTGAATATGTCAAAATTTATACTGACGGATCTAAAACCGGTGAAAGGACTAGTTTTGCTTTTTACGATGCATATAACAAAATAGGAAAAGTATTTGCATGTAACAATTATTTATCTGTTTCTTGTTCTGAAGCTTTAGCTATATTATTTGCCTTAAAATACAGTTTGTCTATGAAGTCGTGACATTAAATGATGGCGCCACTAGTACGCATGTAGCAACCCTATACAGTCTGACCAAAATGATTTTGATACTAGCAGTTCATTCAAGTAAAATAGGTAATTAATAAGACACACTATACAGTCGTATTTTGTTTCTGCTTTATATATAGTAGGTAGTATGCTTATAAAAAGTTTAGCCAAGCATATTAAAATGAATCAGAATAAAATTATTATAGATAAAATAGCACTTTGTAGTGTAAAAGTGTTTAATGTTGGTGACTACCACTGAGGTGCCATTGAGACCAGAGCCGATAAGTAATCATTAATACACACAAGTATCATCATACGATGTTTTTAACACACTTGTTAAGAAAATATTACTAAAAATCACTTTATAGTATATAAAAAGTTTATTTAGAGAAACCATTTGTAAATGTGCAGTTACTTAAATTAGTAATAGGTATCTTCACTAAAAGCATCTGGCCATGGTTCTTTATGTGACCATTTCTTTCTTTGGTCGGCCTTGCCTGTTTTCCCAGGAGTTTCAAACTTTCCATCATTCTTATAACCTTCGTTGACTATCCGACTCTCTGATTTTCCTGAAAAAATGTAAAAAGTAATGTTACAGAATAGAAACAATAACTTATTGACATGAAGCAATTAATTCAAAATTGGTAGAAAACCTGACCGAGCTGAACCATAATAACGTATCAAAAGAAATGGTCGTACTACAATATTACCTATTTACAATGTCAATCTAACCTAAAAATATGCAATGTAACAATGGTGTCGATTCTGGCATGATTCTCTAAACCTAAACTTAAATTTGACAACAGTGTATCCTTGTCATTCTCCATACAGAATGAAAAGGAGAGACTGATGTTAAATTTAGTTTTAAGTTTAGAGAATCACGCCAGAATCGACACCAATGCCTTTTTTGGTCTCAAAATCGTAAATTGAGTAAATTTGTAACTTCAGGCAGATTACAAATAAATAGTTACACGATTACATACCCGTCATAGATGCTGTTCGCCCATAAACATCATCCAAATCCCACAAAATTCGTCCAGCTCGGTAGTCCTCGAAACATCGCTGGAGAACTTTAAAAATCACTTCCCGCGTGCCACTCCGATTTACTTTACTCATTTTTATACCTTTCTGTGTAGTTTCGTCTTAATTTATTACAGTTTAATACAAACAATAAAGAATACAAAAGGAAAACTGTTCCACAACTGAAACTCGATGACAGCTGATGTACATAAGTTTGGTGTTGCCAGACACATGAATAATGTTAGTTCCTCAAACATTCATGTCACGACTTTATAGACAAACTGTACATCGGACAATTGTCGCCATATTTACAAAAATGTATTGTTGTTAACTGATTCTATGAGTGTCCTACAAGCTATTTCAAAGAAATAGTTTCATTGCATCTGACAACTACTTAATTCATGAAATTAAAAATTGTGTTAGCAGTCTGAATAACTTTTATGTAAATATAGAATTTATAACAAAATATGTAGTATAAGTCTCCAGAATAGGTACTATTGTAGTAATTCTTTTTTGCTGATGGCCCGGAAGCCAAATCTCAATAATTAAAAAAAAACTGACTGTTGTCAAGTTAATAAATAGCCAAAAAAACAAACACCCTAACTTGGTCATTCGTATTTGATTTGCTATTTGTTAACTTGACAACAGTCAGTTCTTGTCATGCTTTATAAAGAATGAGAAGGACAGATCAATGTCAAGTTCAGAAACAAGCCCTCACCCATAGGGTGCGGCCACAGTGCACTCAGATTCAGATTCAGATTCTGAAAACAAGCGCGAGAAATAAACAGTGTAGTCTAAGCAGGTTGCCTGCTTTTTCTCGCGCTTTGTTTTCTGAGTCTGAATCTGAATCTGAATCAGGAGTGCACTCTGGCCGTACCCTTCGACTACACTGTTTATTTCTCGCGCTTGTTTTCGAAATCTGCATTTAAAGCAGGGTGGCCATAGTGGCCGCAGGCAACCTGCTTAAACTACACTGTATATTTCTTGCGCTTGTTTTCTGAGTCTGAATCTGAATCAGGAGTGCTCTCTGGCCGTACCCATAGAGTATACTAGTATACCCAGTGTTGCCACCTTGGTGGTTTTTCCACCAGAACTGGTGCTTTTTCACGGCTTCTAGTGGTATATTTTCATTATCTAGCGGGTATATTTTTTTTAGTGTTTTTAGTGGTTTTTTAACATGAAATCTAGCAACATATTTTTAAGGGGGAAATCCCCTAACTTTCCGAAATTTCATAATGTTCTATGCTTACTCTGTGACAGGGGAATTCCTACACGCGTTTGTCTGTTAAGGGCATCCTTTAATCGTTCATTCTGTTTCATGAGTTAGGTTCACACACAGTCGCGTTCATTGTGTTGTTAAAAAGTGTAAAAGTTTGATTTGATAGGAACATTTGTAACAGTGTGTGAACTCCTGAAGCTGTATGTTTAGAGTAATATTTTTTATGTTATTATGGAAATTCTATTCAAGAAAAAGAATTACATACAAAAGTATAGAAAAGAATGGGAATCACTCGTCAAATCCCAAACCTGGCTTAAACCTTTAGCAGGTGTTGATGCGAAGGCGTTTTGTTCATTTTGTAAAGCAGAATTATTAGCAAAGGTAGTAAATTTGAGAAGACATGCTGAAACAAAAAAGTACAAACAAAAAATGCAAATTCTTTCCGGCAATCAAAAGATATCATAAAAAATACACAAAATACTCTTTCAAAAATCCACTACAACCACCAACAAACATCTTCAGCTTCGACATCGGCTTCATCGACGTAAGCGTCGGCGTCTGTGAACGACGATGAAGTTATAGAAGTGTAACATTTAACACTATTGAATTTTAAATTTTACATTTTGTTTAAGATTTATTTCTTGATCATAAATAATGAATGTAAATACATATTTACCTGGTTTTATTTCATTCTAGTACTACTAAGGTAACGCATGGAAAAGTTATAAGTTAGTAAAAACAATATTGACATTTTTTTTTAAATTACAAAATTATACTAATTAAAAACGACTGCGGGAGAACACAGTTATTTCTGTAGCATCTCATACATATTCACTGGTTTTTTATTTAAATTAGGGTTTTTTGTTGTCTGAGATGTAATTGTGATTTAGCGGATTTTGGTGTATTTTATTAAATCCAAATTTTTGAAACCTGGCGATATTTTACCTTTGACTTGGCGCCTTAAAAAAATCCAAGGTGGCAACACTGAGTATACCCTCACCGAACGAGTTTTTGGCGGGATTTGATCGAGTGTGGTTGGCGTCTTATTTTAATTATTCTTAAATTCGTTCATAGTGGATATTGTAAAATAAAATTGGTGTGATTTTGTGTTACAACTGTCTGTGTAACTGAAGAATTAGTAGAATCATCAAAATATACGCTATTCCGGTCAAGTGGAAGTGAGAATTTTATTGTAGTATTGACTACCTCACAGAAGCTTATCGAAAAAGCCAGCTCGATACATTTCGTGCCAAACACTTCAAGAAACATTACAATGCGTCACACCGACATTCTAATGTAAAAAGAAAATCAGAATAATTTAACTTAAGACTAGGCTGTATGGGCATTGTTCCCCTTGCCTTCCCTGACAAGGAAGAATTTAACAAAAAAAACAAAAACCTCACCGAACAAACATAAACAAGAAATTAGCTTGTAGGGATGTCGAAAGTTGAAAAAAATATCGATATATCGATACATCGATATTTAAAAAAAATATCAATATCGGCTTCGATATATCGCGAAAAAACATCGATATATCGATATATCGGACCAATTTTCCCAAAAATATATTTAGGTCAGCCTAGCACAGTAATAATAACAATACAAATTATAATTAAAGAAAGAATTATGAGAATACCAAATTGCCGCTACACTAAATGACAGTACAGTATCTCACGAAAGATGATACGAGGAATAATAATTGAACGAAATTTATCTCCCTAAAAATAGACCCTATTTTCGAATGATGAAAATGATTGCAGGGCCTCTCAGGTGCCATTTTTAGTAAACAACACTAATCACACATTTCCACAGAATATAATGGAATTCAGCACAACCAATTCACCAGCGAAACAGATTTACAAATCATAGACAATACTAAATACAGCACTAAATACAATTGAATATCATTAATCTGAGATCCAGTTACGATTTTTCCAGATACGAATTTAGTTAGATCGTGAAATACCGCTAATAATTAAAAAATATCGTTTTTGATACGAATTTCGATATTGGTTATTTTGTATCGATGTATCGATATATCGAATCAAAATATATCGGCTCAAAATATCGAATAATCGTACAAAAAATATCGATATATCGATACATCGATATATTTTCAACAAGCCTATTAGCTTGCTACATATTCTTAAAGTGATCTGTGCAAGAAATTTTGGACACAAACACCAGATATTGGCTAAAAGTTTTTAGCCTAAAACCTGCTAAAAAAACCTGAGGGAGCCATCACTGAAGAAATTAATTTATTCTATCTTCAATTAAAAAATGTCTAGCAATAACTTAAAAACTGAGAGCATTTACAATATTTATTCAGAAAGCTTTAAATTAAGTGTAAATAAAGGATTTGCAATACTCCAGCAAGTAAGTAATTATTTCGGATTGTTCATTTACTGTGGTTATTTTGAATTTAAAAACTCAAATAATAATGTCATATTTTTTATTCTAAATTAGCAGCAAGAATTTGTGGATTTAACTATAGCATCAGGAGGATACTTAGTCAAAGCTCATAAAAGCATAATAGCACTAGCTAGCCCTTACATTAAAAGCATTTTACTATCAACACCATGTCAACATCCTGTAATTTTTTTTAGTGTAAGTAGTATTTTTAATTTGATGCCATTATTCACTCTGATACAATTATAGTATATATAAATACTAAAACTGATTCCAGAATATTTCACATAGAGTATTATCATTTATATTGGAATTTGTTTACACTGGTGAAGTACAAGTTCCTTGCGATCTCTATGAATCTTTTATACAAGCAGCTAAAGATATGCACATTGATGGACTCGATAAACTAAATGCTGCAATGGTATGTGCATATATCTTTTGGTATATTTGCTTATTTTATTATAGAAAACAATATTATGTAACTATATTTACAAATTATTTTCAGGATCTCAATAGATTACCTCTCAATAAAACTGCAGTCACAGATGATTTTGATACAATTTCCTTGAATATACTAAATGAACCAGTTTCTAACAAAATTAGCAGGTGTGTAATTACAAAATTGACAAATTAAACTATTGTGTAAATCACTGTTTTTGAAGAGCTTTCCTTGATTATAAAATAATATATGTAATGTACTGAACATTAGGCCGTATACAGAAAGAAAGCCGAAAGCCGATCAGCGCCGATCGGCGCTTATCGGCGCCTATTGACGCTGATCCTTTTTCTATGGACCGGCGCCGATCGGCGCTGATCGGTGCCGATCAGCGCCGACACGCGCTGGTCCGAATAATAAATAATTTGTATTTGAATTATTATCCTTAGATTAAATCAATCTAAGTTATAATCTTTTTATAAATCTAATAACTTTATCTTTTATTAACTAAGCGCTAAAATTATTTGTTTCGTACTTACCGAATGGTGACAACAAGTCTTTCTTCTGGAAGGATTGGTTGTTTATGCCAATTGCTCCAATTTTTCATCAAACGGTTTTTACTAAATCCAAAATGTAATAAAATGTTTCTTGAATCATTCTTGTATATGTATAAAATCTTTGTTTATCAAATTTAAATTTTTTTACAAATAAATGATGGTATTCTCCGAAACGTTTCCTTTCTCTATTTATAGGATGTATAGCTGTTTTTCGCATTTTTAAATAAACATTTTCTAACAAAACCAACTCATCGTCCGATGAGTCCGACATTTTGCTTGATCTGCTTTAATCGGCTTCCTTTGTGTAGGAAGGATTGACGCCGATAAGCGCCGATCGGCTTTCGGCTTTCTTTCTGTATACGGCCTTACAATTACAATTATTTAAGAAAATTATCTCAAAAGCAATTTAATGCACTCCTTATAAAAAAAGACTTAGTTTTAATAGCAGCATTTTACCTGAAATAAAATGGATATTAAAATACTTACCTCACTGAAAGCTTTATATTGAGATAGCACTTCCGTTTCCCGTCGAATTACCATCAGTTTACGTACTTTTATTCACCTTGTATCTGGTCCAGTGGAGACACCTGGCAGAAGTGCGGCCATTTTTGTTTTCCTAAGTTTTGACAGCGCCATATTAACTCATTGGCTCAATTATTTCACCAGGCAGAATTTAAAGTGAAAGCTTTCAGTGAGGTAAGTATTTTAATATGCATTTTATTTCAGGTAAAATGCTGCTATAAATAAATACTTAACCGTCACTGAAAGCTTTATATTGAGACCTGTTTGTTATCGCCTGGTGATCGCCACATACATAGATATGCCAATGTCACAATTTATGATTTTAAATATTAACATTTATCAGATTATATGAAACTGTATAAAGAAACAAGTATTGAATCACGCCTTTAATTTCTTCATGCTTACGAAGCTGCTTTAACATATGTATTAGCTGATCGCTATATTCCTGTGTTTAAAACTCTAAGCAAATATATATATATACTAGCTGACCCAGCGAACTTCGTACCGCCATAAAAAAAAATAATTAAAAAAACATTGTCCAGCGGACAAAATTGTGAATCTAAACCATTCTCAGATCCCCTTGAACACACACAAAAAATTTCATCAAAATCGGTCCAGTCATTTAAGAGAAGTTCAGTGACATACACACTCACAGAAGAATTATATATATAAAGATATATATTTGCTTTGTTAATGACCAGATGCTTCCTTGTGTAGCATTCATTTGTATCTTTGTGTATCACAAATAAGGCGTAACGAATGCGAGAAAAAGATGTAAAGTTGTTCGATACTGAGTCTTACATTTTACAAGACTGTACTTTTTACTTAAGTACCAAAAATCAGGGTCCCACTTATGATTACCATTATTCGGTACAAGTCACCAATTGAATTGTCTTTAACTACTTTCACCTGTTTTGAACCAAAACAAGGCTAAAACTAATCTTTGTCGGTACAAATACAATGATTCGGGATAATTTGAAGTAGGAACATGTCATGTGTACCACATACTGAACCAAATAATACGCAGCATAATTACTGTATGATGTTCAGAACAATAACTAGTATGACGAGGTATTTGAAACAGATCATTATGATGTAATGAATACATTATTGAAGAAAAGGAAATAAGTTAACTTATAGACACAGAATAGTGGGTTACGGACTGATTCTTTAAAAAAGGTAAATTAAAAAAATCAAAAAACCTGACTACTTAATTATACTTCAAATAAAAACTGAAAAGAAAAAAACAAGTCCAGTAGTCAATAATTCTGTTAATAAGGAACAAAGCTACTTTAGCAGTCGGGCCCTACTGTTGAAAAATATTATGTATTCTTGAATATCTAATGGGTCGGGTAAGCAGTCGGGTTTTTTGATCTTTTTAATTTACCTATTTTTATTTCACACTTTTTAGTTAGTTAGTCTTAAGACGGTATATACCGTAGTCTTGTTACTTCAGTGAGGGAATTAATATCGCGGGAATTATTAAGTACCTTGCGTCGGTCTAAAAGATTGATTTATTAAGACGTATAGAGACTTTACCAGCGGGGTCAAGGCTACAGATGGGCCTCAATTTTCGCAAAAATGTGTGAAGTTAAATCAAGTCGTTACATAAATATCTCTAATGTATGTAAATTTTATAGTAAACTAGAACTTACTCAAAAAGTCATCTTTTGTTTATGTTTTTTTTAATAGTTTAGCAGTAAATATAAAATTCATTTTCTTTTATTCGTCGACTATTTAAAATTGGCAGTGGCTGCATTGTTATATCAATGCCGGACGTCTAAGATTGTGATATACACAAATGCAGTGTCAGTCCCTAGTCTCATAATTTGATATATCTACATAATTCACAGAAACCCAATATGTAGATGCCAGAAGTTAACTTCGAATGTTTTTAATCACCCTATATACAATACCAATCAATGACGTTTATGTCGCAGGTTGAAGAAAGCAGTAATTCCCGTTTGTTGTTTTGGACAATGGTGGCAACTGCCTTAGATCACTAAATTAAATAATTATGCAATCACCAAAGCAAAGTTTTATAATATTTGATTAAACTAAAGGCGCATAATAAAATTTTCATAACGTTAGATAGAGCACCATAGCAATCTCATTTATTATTAATTTATAGTTCTCTTTGTGGTTTTCTTTTAAAGCGTTCACATATAACAGGTCAAAGACTTTGTGATCGACACTTTTTTATTGTTGGTAGTGTAAAGCTCGAATGAAGAGTAGGGCAATCATGGCAATTATTTTCCAAATTTTTTTTTGTTTAAAAAAATACCGAATTAGGTACGTATCACTGCACTGTTAAGCACAAATGCTAAGTAACTTTTACAAATATAATCAAATAAACCTATTACTTACTTTATTTTTAAATCTTTTTCATCAATTAAATACTTATCTTATCCTAACTATCTATACTAATATTATAAAGAGGCAAGATTTGTATGTTTGTAACAAATAATATGTCAAACTACTGAACCGGTTTCAAATATTAATTCATCATAAGGTAGCTACATTATTTATTATTACATTTTTCTTTATTTAAATACATTTTGTCCGAGTGACATAGGCTATATTTTATCCCGATAAATAAATTTCGCCCGTACAATGCCCGGGTGGATAACTAGTAAGTATAATATAATATTATAGATGTGAAAGTGAGTTTGTTTGTTGCGCTTCCGTGCCCTTATAGCTAAATCGAATATAATGAATTCCCATATAGAAGTAGATGGGAACTTGGTTCTTAGCTACAAAATCGCAATACTTATAGGTATAGGGTGATGAAAGAGGTGATTTACCTATAAAAATCTACATTATTTACTTTGAATTTTGCAGAATTATTACACAACCAATATTATCGCGAGCTGATTAATAAATACAGGGATTCCAATAATGATGTACTTACTAGCGAAAAATGGGTTATTTGTCATTATATTAAGTAAACCTTTTTTGTAATATTAAGTAATATCTTAAAAAAAATGAAAAACTGTAAAATTCTGAGTTTTTCATTAAAATTCAATAATCATAAATACCTATTATGATAATATATTTTTCATCATTTAATAAGAAGGAACTGTATCAAAGTTTTATTGTTAGTGCTTCGTATGGGATCAGATACTGCGAATAGCCCATTTTTTTTCTTTTACATAGTACACCGCGCTATCACTTTGTCATCGTTGTAACTTTTTAAATATTTGTCGAAATGACATAGTGTAAAAAGCAAAGTTTATCGTCTTTAAATATCAAAAGCGATAAAAGTATTTGTTTTGATAAAAAATGATTTGTTAATACAAAATGTGCATTTTGGAAATAGATATCAAATAATATTTTAGTTTTGATTCACTATTTTAGCGGTAATGACTTACACATTAAAAATAGATATATGGTGTCACGGACTTTTTTTAGAACTATTTAAGAGATACATTGCTGTCGATTCTGGCATGATTCTCTAAAGCTAAACTTAAATTTGACAACAGTGCATCCTTGTCCTTCTCGATACAGAATGAAAAGGTGAGACTGATGTTAAATTTAGTTTTAAGTTTAGAGAATCACGCCAGAATCGACACCATTTTCACTCTACATTACATTCATGTAACTTTTATTGTTTTTGCAGTGCAGGCCAAAATGGCTCGCATATGGGAGATTTTTTTCCGTCTTATGTGACACTTATTGTTATATATTGGCCAATTCACTCAATAACTACATAAATTATTATATATATGTAATTATCATATATGAGCTATATTACTGTTAAGTTTCATTAAAATCCATTCAGTATTTTTTAGGTGAAAGAGTAACAAAGATCCATACATACGTAAGATTGAAATTAAAAGCGTAAGTGGTTAATATACAACTTTAAAGCGTTGTAGATCCTGAACGTTCATATTAAATGAAAAATGGTGTTAGGAATCTAAATATGATTTTTTATTATCTAGACAGTGATACCCCACTCGACATATTGTGTCAACTTATTTTTTTTACTTCGTCACAATATGGCGCCTAATTTTGGCCATATTGAATTTTGATTACTATCATATCTTTAGTAGCACTCCCATGATTGAGACGAATCGATTGATGTATGAATC